ATGTCTCCAGCGCAGGTGGGTGTGTGACTGATGTTGTCCCCCCCACCCCTTGTCCCCTGCCTGCCTCCCTCCAACCCCTGTGTACAGGTATTGATGTTGAACAAGTGTCTGTGGTCATCAATTTTGACCTTCCTGTGGACAAGGACGGGAACCCAGACAATGAGACCTACCTGCACCGCATTGGACGCACGGGCCGCTTTGGCAAGAGAGGTCTGGCCGTGAACATGGTTGACAGCAAGCACAGCATGAATATTCTCAACAGAATCCAGGAGCATTTTAGTGAGTCCCTGAGTTGGGCCTGCCTGCATTCCTTTTCAGAGGGGGTCGTGGGAGAGGGGAGGTTTCCACGGTCCCTAAGGCGGGCTCTGTCCCTGCATATTTGGGGCTCAGGGACTGGAGTATCAGTGCCCTGGGACCAGGCTGGCTGGGAGAACCTGACTCCCCGGGAAGTTGATATCAGTGACCCTGGTGCCTGCTGCTCAGGCTCAGGCAGCCTACCCTGTGTCTAGAAGGAAGCCTCACTGTCCCACAGGGAGGTGCCTCCCCAGACTGCCTTGCTGTCTTAGGTGACGTCTGTTGCATTTCCACGGGAGTTCGTGGTGGTCTTCCCGTCCTTTCTTTTCCCCTCAGATAAGAAGATAGAAAGATTGGACACAGATGATTTGGATGAGATCGAGAAAATAGCCAACTGAGGAGCTTCTCCATGGGCTGCCGCCACCCTCAGCGCTCCCTGCCTGGGAGTCTAGTGCTTTCATGGCATCGGCCTTGACGGGCACCTCAGAGACCGCGGTCTGAGTAGAGACTACCTACCTCATTCGGAATTACGTTTGGACTTGACAAATTTGTGCAAATAGTAGGGGGAAATCTAAGGAAAGTTACATTTTAGAAAATAGTCCTAGCTGGGTGTGGTGGTGCACAACTTTAATCCCAGCACTTGGAGGGCAGAGACAGACAGGTGGATCTCCATGTGTTTGAGGCCAGCCTGATTCACTTAGTGAGTTCTAGGGCAGCCAGAGCTACATAGTGGGCCCCTGTCTTGTGGAAAGAACTGAGTCCTCAGCTCTCTTCCCCTTTAACACACAATTTTCTACTGTATGGTGATAAGTTTGCTGTTGCTGAGGCTTGGGCCACAGGCCTTGACCCCCACTGGCTTGCTCCCTGTGTTTTGACCAACCTTCAACCTTGAATAAATGAGAGGAAAAGGCAGTTCCGAGAGGTCAGGAGAGACACTGCTCTAGCCCACCTGCCTCTGATAGAGCCAGTAGAGACTCTGTGCTCCACTCACCCCAACTCTACCTCCGCCCCCTTCCTCCCTGGTGAGCACCTTGGTTAGGACATTATTCTTCAGATTGGCACACAATGGAAGTCAGCACATCACAGACTCGGGGGGCATTGGTCTGTTGGGTGACACCCCCATTGACGATCGAGGTGTTTTTACTCCTGTCACTCCATCTAGTATTCTGTGCCTGGCTCCATTGTTCGGTTCCAGTCCATGGGGTTTCATGCCAAGTAGCAACTTAGAAAGGAAGTTATGACCAAGCAAAAACTCTCAATTACGCTGTTAGCAGACTTATGGGTTACTTCATACATTGTATGAATAGGATTGAATAAATCAGTGATAACACATCATTTTAAGAAATTTTAAAGTAATTATGAGAAACATTTTGCTAATCATGATTTGTTATTTGTATTTTTCTGCTTACTAGACTAATATATGCTCATTAAAAATGTGTATAAAAGTGCTCCGTGTGTACTTGAGTTACTGTAGCTATCAGCCTACAACGTGTCCCACTGTCTCTCTTCTGTCTTCCACATATGCTTCCATTCTGCGCAAGTGTGAATACTTCACACTATTTTGTAGCCTGAGGGTTCACTTGTACACCTGTTTCCCTCTGGAAAGGAGCTGTCACCTAATGTGTAAGCACCCTGGCACACATTTCAGCATTCGTCAGTGATAGGTAATAAGAATTCCTAGCACATTCCATTACCTATCTGACAATGACCGGCTCAGTCCCTGTCTTGGGTCAAAGTTGGAACGTTTGAAGTCACAATTCACCCACAAACTCTGTAGTAGCCTACTCTTTGTTGTTTTTTGAGATAGGGTCTCACTGTGTAGCTCTAGATGTCCTCAAACTCAGAGAAATCTGCCTACCTCTGCCTCCTAAATGCAGGGATTAAAGGGTTTGTTTATATTATCAAATTTTACAAATATATATACACAGTGTTCGTACTGTATGCCTGCATGCTAAAAGAGGGCATCAGACCTCATTACAGATGGTTGTGAAGCCACCATGTGGTTGCTGGGAAATTGAACTCAGGATTCTGAGTAAGAGTAAGAGCTCATGCTCTTAACCTCTGAGCCGTCTCTCCAACCCTTATATCAATTTTGAAAACTTTGCTAGTCTAGGAGCTAGAGAGACAGCTCAGCAGTCAGCACTTGCTGCCCTTATAAAAGACCTCTGTCCGAGTCCCAGCACTCGTGTTAGTCAGGTGGTTCACAGCTGCCTGAGATTTCCAGTTTCAGAGGAATCTGATGCCTCTGCTCTTGAGTATCTAGCAGTCATATGTACTCCACTCCCAGAGACATAAATTACCTTTAATTCCAGCACTCTGGTGGCAAGATCTCTTTAGTTCCAGAATATCCAGAGCTATATTAAGAGAACATGGCTCAAAAACAGAACTAAAAGCATCTTTCCTTGAGAGTATTTTTATGTTCATGTAGATCTTAAGGTGACTGACCCCAGAATTCAGGGATTTAGCCTATACAACAGTAGGAAAGGAAAAAGAGAAAACATGTTTAGACACTTGGATCTGAAGTGTTTTGGTTCCACAAAAGAGAAGTACCAGTATGCAGGCTAGAGTTTTAGCCCTTGAATGAGGGTAAACACAGGAGACCAGGTATGAGATTAAAAGTCAAGATCAGCCTGGGAAAGCTAGTGCAGGAGACAGTGAGGTCTGTGTGTGTGTGTGTGTGTGTGTGTGTGTGTGTGTGTCTGTGTGTGTGCTCGTGCGCACGCACGCGCAGGTGTCTGAGCACTCTGGGGGAAGTCTCAAAGAAGGGGAAAGGAGTAAGAAGGCACAAAATGAGGTGGAGTGATAGTTACTACCTGCATTGAACGCTGAAAATGAAGAACATATCTCAAAAATAAGGCAGAAAGGGCTGAAGAGACAGCAGTGACACCAGTGGCTGCTCTTCCAGAGGATCCTGGATCAATTCCCAGCACTCACATGGCAGCCCAGAACTGTAACTACAGTTTCAGGGGATCTGACACATGCAGGCAAAACACCAAGGCATGTAAAGTTAAAAAAGGGAGGGGGCCGATTGTGTGTGTGTGGGGGGGTGCCACACTCCAGCACTTTCAGAGCAGAGGCCTACAGATCTCTGGGTTTGAGGTCAGCCTGGTCTGCAAAGCGAAACGATCTGAAAAAAGCAAAATAAAAACCCCACAAGCCAGGCAATGGTGGCGCACACCTTTAATCCCAGCACTTGGGAGGCAGAGGCAGATGGATTTCTGAGTTTGAGGCCAGCCTGGTCTATAGAGTGAGTTCCAGGATAGCCCGGGCTATACAGAGACCCTGTCTCGAGAAAAAAACAAAACAAAAAAAAAAACCCACAAGGCAGATAGTCTGTGTACTAAAAATGGAGCAAAAATGGCTCATCTCTAGGCCATGGCCTATTCTACCCAGTTACCCTAGTGTCATCTTTCATCCTCTCATGTTCTGTCCATGAACATAAAACTAATGCTGCCCCTCTACATTGGTTTATTTTAACAGAACAGTGCTCCTGCCCCAGTTTCCGAAACCATTATCCTAGAAGAGGGCAAAACCTCATGGACCAAGTTATCAAGGAAGTGTCTGGTGTCTGTTAGTTTTTTGTTAAATAGCATACCCCCTCGCAGGGCAGTGGTGGCACATGACTTTAGTTCCTGAACTCAGGAGGCAGCGCTGATGAATTTGGCACCAGCCTGGTCTACAGAGCATAGGTACAAGACAGCCTCTCTCTCAGAAAATAAGTTTAGTATATCTCCTCAAACTTTCGAAGACTGTAGGAATGAGTCACAACAGCTGGGTCAGGGGAAGTAATCTATCTGGCTGGTGATGATGCACACCTATAATTCCAACACTTGGGAGGCAGAGGCAGGAGGATTTCTGTGTTTCAGGACAGCCTGGTGTTCAGAGTTCTAGGACAGTCAGGGCTACCCAGAGGAACTCTTTATCTTGAAAAAGAAAAAATGCCACTGACTGTGGGGTTTTTAAATTTAGTTCTGAGATTCATATAACACCTATTTCAGTAAGTGTTTTAAGGTGCAGACCCAACATTTCCCCCAGTTTTCCAGTTACCCTACTGGTTTATTTAAGCATTTATCTTAGTGATAGGCAAAGCTCAGAGAGGCACTATCTACCCCCAGCACCTCTCCCAAGAGAACTGTTTCTTTGCATAGCACATTATTGTTCTGGCAACAAGCTGTGGGCCACATATAGTATGGTCAGACTAAGGAGAACTATGTCAGAACTCCAGAGAGAACTCACTGGAGTCACAGGGAAAGGACTGCTTTATGGATGCAGAGATGAACCAACATAAGCCTGTAATAAAGCCCTGTTTACAAAAGGCCATTTCAGTTGAACCAGAAATTCTTCCCAAGTCATTACTCTCTTAGAGGAATACAAAGGGGACAATGAGTTAGTTTTTGCTGCCTTTTTTTTTCCCTTGAGAAAGGGTCTCATGTAACCCAGGTTAGCTTGAAAGTTACCATATAGTTGAGGCTAGCCTTTAACTTATTTTCCTGCCTCAGCCTCCCAACTGCTATGATTAAAGGCACATGCCACCATGCCTGGCATAGACCATAATACTCAGAGTCCTTTGGGGGGACTTGAGAGAGCAGAGCCCATGAATCAGGCTCCTCAGGCTTAAGAGTGTATCAGTTCCTTTGTTCTCCAGAACATCCTTCCCTCCTCAGAAACACCTAGGATGGTACAGTTCAGAACAGATGAGGACTCTCTGGGCTTTGCTCTTTTTAATTCAGGAACAGAAATGGAAAAACCGAATGTTTAAATAACTATATAGAAGAAAAGGATGTGGGTGCTGGGACCTACCTTTTCTAGACTGGGGATTCATGGTTTAAACAAAACAAAAGGAAGAAAAATAAATTATTCTTCTCAATACTGTTTGGCATAATTGCATTGCGTTCCCACTTCTCATCCCAGCAGCTTCTTGAGATGAGCAGAGAGGAGACAGGCAAGAACAGAGCCACTGGTACCGTGACTCTGGATGACGGTTAGAAGCCCTGAGAGGTTCTGCTACGGTCCTGCTCAGTATACCCATCTTTTTTCCTCCACCCGTGCTTTTGAAACTGGGAAGGAACAGACTCAAGCAAAGTTCTCCATGTATTAGTTTTTAGGGGTACTCGTTGCCTCATCCCAAACTTCTTAATACTCTCCTTTATGTGTGACTGTCCCCCAACCAAGAGGCTGCTTGGTAATGTCAACTCATTAAGAATGGGAAATATTCATGTGGACACTGCAGGGAAGTGTTTTCTGAGGCCTGAGACATTCACCGAAGCCCTTTCTCCCAATGAACCTCATCTGCTTCCCGGGTCAAGTCATGCAAGTAGCTTCCAGTTGTAACCCCTGATTCTTGACTCGCCAGCCCTTTAGGAGCTGGAAAGTAGGTTAGAACAGGCGAGTGAGCAGGGTAAAGGTGCGGACAGGAGGAGGCATGCATGGCAGCCACCAATCCGCTCCTCCCCAGCAAAGCTCCGAGCCATCTGCAAGGCCTGCAAAGAATTGTCAAGCAATCTTGGTTGGATAGCCATCCCTGGCAGCTTGAGGGTAACTAAAGCATGAGTCCAAAGCAAATCCTACCCCCAAGCAAGAGGCTGCCTGCTCCTCTTTGGGGTGACAATGAAAGAAAAAGGTACATGCACAGGGTTCTCCTTTCCAGCCTACTGTCCAAACGTACTGCTCTCGCCTTAGGGCTAAAGACATGGGCCATGTGTGTGAGAGCACAAGCAACGGAGTCCGGGTGGTCTCATTTTGTCTCCAAATCAACAGGTGAGCTGGAGAGGAGGCCCAGAACCTAAGGACAGACGCTGAGAAGGTGGTGGGGAACAGGAGTGAGGGCACACGTGAGAGAAGCACCTTGCATGTGACCCGGTGGAGCTTCCTACCCGTTCCTGACACTAGTGAGGCCCTAGGGAGGTCAACCCAACTCGGGGTGAATTCAACCCCCTAACTAGCTGGTGAGCCACGGAATGCCCTGGAGAGTGTCTCACCAGGACCACATTTCTTTGGCGGGCTTCACTCACCCATCGGGCCTAAGCTGGAAATGAGCAGTTCAAGGCGCTCCTGCCCAGCCCACGACCAGCCCCTTAAAAAGCAGAAAAATTCTTATCCAAAGCAGGGTTGGGGGTGAGGGGTCGAGGCCCGCCGCCTCCCAAGGCCATGATTGGTGGAGACGGCGGCGCCGGAAGTTCTCCTTGAGTTGCATGATTGGCTAAGAAGCTCCTCCCAACTGCAGCACTGATTGGTTGCTGGGGACGGCGCAGTGATTGCTGGGTGGCAACCGGCACTTGCCGGACCCAGAAGTGACTGGTTCTGCAGGCGTCCAGGGCTGCTCAGTTCCCTCGGTAAACCTCGATCTTGCTGGCCTTGGCCAGCATGTCAATGATGTGGGCTTCGAAGTCGGCATCATGCACGCCTGTCTTCCGGAACTCGCCCGCGTACCGGTTGTTCTCCCAGTAGTGGTGCCAGTTGCCACGGCTGTCCGCCCCGAACCCATACACGTTCACCTGTGAGGAAGGTGGCACAGGGGTCACTGGGAGTCGGGGACCGTGGTAGGGGACACCCAGGCCTGACACAGGGACACTGACTCAGAGGGGACTGCTGCCTCTTCTGTCTCTCATTTGTGTTTTGCTTTTCCACGACAGGGACTTATGTGGCCCAGGATGGCTTCAAATGATCCTCCTGTCTCAGACTCACTGTATCTGATTACTGGTACCACCATGACCTTGCTATAAATTTGCCTTTTTAATGAAGTAGTTTTGTTAGTAAATTTTAAAAGGTAATAAAAACGGAAAATGCAAATATATTGTTTATAGGAATATAACAGACATGAAAAAAACCTAACCCACGTGGTTTCTGTCTACAAAAACTACTTCCCTGGAACCACAACTAAGATGGGGAAAGGGCCGTTTCCTGCTCACGGGTTCTCCTATTTCCTCTCTCCATTGGCACCCGACTGCCTACCTCATCACACACGTGTAGTGCAAAGAAGAGCACCAGCATTCCTGTGGAAGGGTAGCGGCCATGGTGCTCGGTCCACCTGTCATGGATGTACTTGAAGAAGGCTGGGTTGTAAATCTGGACCTACAAGGAGAGTAAGAGGCACGTGAAGGGTTTGGAGGTCTGGCGATTTGGGGCAGGCTCTGAACAGCTTCTAGCAGTTCCTTAGGAATGCTGCACACGGGCGTTCTTAGGTTCCTGTGGTCAGTACAGGAGTCAGGCATGCCAGCAGATGCGGGATCCCTCCATACACACACAACCTCCACACAACCCCCCACCCCGAGACAAGGTTTCTCTGTATAGCCCTGGCCATCCTGAAACTCATTCTGTAGAACAGGCTAGCCTTGAACTCAGAGATCCACCTGCCTCTGCCTCCCGACTACTAAGATTAAAGGCGTGCAATACCATCAGCTGACTCACAGATGCAGATCTTGATGGTGAGGGCATAACTTGAGTAAGCCAGCATAATTTCCATGATGGTGAGGGTCAAATGACCAGGGGGCAGGGAACTTACCTTCTCTTTGTCCACTCGAAGGAAGGACTTCACTGGGGCATAGGTGCTACAAGAAGACAGGAAAAAAAAACCCTTTCAGATGGCAACATATCTGCTCCTTATGACCAAATGGTGACACCCTCACAGTTTCTAGACTGATCTATTCTCAGTGCATGTTTCCTGCTGCAGGGCCTTGATCAGAAACCTTCAGTGGCTTTCAGGATAAAATTGGGCTATTTTAGTCAAGCCTAGGGACTTCCAATCTCACCCTTCCCTAAGCTGTCTGCTGGGGAACTCTGCATTTGGATTGGCTGATCTCAAACCGCCATGTCTGCTGCCTACTTTTTATATCAACCTGACACAAGCCAGCGGCATCTGATCCTCAATTGAGAAGAGGCCTCCATAAGATCCAGCTGTAAGGCATTTTCTTGATTAGCGATTGTTGAAGGAGGGCCCAGCCCATTGTGGGTGGAGCGCCATCCCTAGACTGGTGGTCCTGGGTTCTATAAGAAAGCAGGCTGAGCAAGCCATAAGGAATAAGCCAGTGCTGGCCAGGTGGTGGCGCATGCCTGTAATCCCAGCACTTGGGAGGCAGAGGCAGGCAGATTTCTGAGTTTGAGAGTTCGAGGCTAGCCTGGTCTACAGAGTGAGTTCCAGGACAGCCAGGGCTACACAGAGAAACCCTGTCTCAAAAAAACAAAAACAAACAAACAAAAAACCAAAAAAAAAAAAAAAAAGGAATAAGCCAGTGCTAAACCACTTTCGGCTTTCTTACTATTTTAAAAAAAAGATTTAGCTTTATTTTTAACGTGCATGTCTACACGTCCACGCCTAATGTTTTCAAGGCCCTGGGTGTGAGCCCCACCACCACAAATCAAGTACTACAAAGTGCCACATGACTAAAGATAACGAAACGGTGACCGCAGCCAATAAGTGAAAACAATCCATATATCCATATTCATAAGGAGAAGAACAAAATATGGTGCGTTCACCACAATGACGGAGTACATTCAGTCTCAATGGAAGTCTGAAGATATGGATGAGCAGAAAGTCACGCAGACAATGGAACACAGGCGGGCAGGAGCAGGTGGAGACAGTGATGTGTAAAGGATACAGTTGCTTTTTGTGATAGTGCATGTTTTGGATGAACATTGACCTTATTGAATGTCATACATCAGCAAGGATTAAAATAGTGATTTTTATAATATTTAACCACATATAAAAGTACAAGGTTAGTCAGAGTAAACCATGTGGTTGTTTAGGGCTGGGGACAGGGAAGACAACTGGGTTATTGTGGCATCAAAGACCTTTAGAACATGAAGACATTTCTAATGTTAATGGTCGTGTTTACAGCATTTTGAATTCATCAAAATATTATTGGTTTATACATTTTAAAAGTATTACATTTGTTTATTTGTGTGCTGGGGTGTACAAGTGCCATAGCATGAAAGTCAGAGGACAACTTGCAAGAATGGGTTCTCTTCTTCTACCATGTGGGTTCTGGGAGACTGAACTCAAGTGACATGTTCACACCACTTCTGACCTCCTCAGGCAACAGGCACACATTCATACATCTAAAATAAATACAATTCTTGGTTTTTTTTTTTTTCAGTTTTTTGAGACAAGGTTTCTCTGTGTATCCCTGGCTGTCCTGGACTCACTCTGTAGACAAGACTGGCCTCGAACTCAGAAATCCGCCTGCCTCTGCCTCCCAAGTGCTGGGATTAAAGGCGCACACCACCACTGCCCTGCGGTTTGTTTGTTTGTTTAAGATTTGGTAGTGGCATATCCTTGTATCCAAGAATTGTAGAGGTGAAGGCAGGAGAATTAGTTCAAAGCCAGTCTTGACTACATGAGACCCTGTCTGAAGAAAAACACACACACTAAACAAACATACAAGCAAACTAGGTAATTAAATAGAAAAGGCACTGGGCTGAGGTATGGTTCAGTGGTTTAAAAGCCTTTGTTGCTCTTGGAGAGAAATCAGATTTAGTTCCCAGCACACACATGGTAGCTCACAACCACCTGTAACTGCAGTTCCTGAGAATCTGATGTCTTCTTCCAACCTCCTTAGGCTCCTGCACACATATGGTGCACATATATACACTCAGTCACATACACATAAATAAATACTTTTTTTTTTTTTTTGGTTTTTTGAGACAGGGTTTCTCTGTGTAGCCCTGGCTGTCCTGGAACTCACTCTGTAGACCAGGCTGGCCTCGAACTCAGAAATCTGCCTGCCTCTGCCTCCCAAGTGCTGGGATTAAAGGCGTGCGCCACCACTGCCTGACTTATAAATACATATTTTTAAAAAATGTAAACCAACAAAACCTGACAAACCTTTGGTAAGCCATGTCTTGTGACACAGACCTGCACTCCCAGCTAGTAGAGAACTGAGACATGAGGATCACGAGTTCAAGCCCTGCTTCAGCTGCAGAGAAAGTTTAAGGCCAGTTTTAGTGGCTTATCAAAAGCCTGTCTCAGAAATTTAAACAACAATAAATAGAAAAAGCAACCAGGGCTGGAGAGATGGCTCAGCGGTTAAGAGCACTTGGCTGCTCTTCCAGAGGTCCTGAATTCAACTCCCAGCAACCACATGGTGGCTCACAACCATCTGTAACAGGATCTGATACCATCTTTTGGCTTTCATACATAAAATACATACATAAATCTTAAAACAAGACAAAACAAAAGAACAAGAATGAACCCTCAGGGAAATGGATTGCTCAGGGTTCCCAGCTGTGATAGAATTATGATCTCAAAGACAGTTACCAGAGAAAAGAACCCCACAGTCCAGAGTTGCCTCCTCAAGAGACCAGTCCAAACTGGGCAATCATGGTTTTGCCACAAGTACACCGAGCTGCACCACATAGGAAGAGGCACAGAATGAGCTATGCCCTCAGCTAAGCCACCATTTTGAGCCCCTACTTCTCACTAATTCAATTACAGGATATTCTGAACTCAGAGACATGCCCTCCCATGGAACTCCTGGCGCCCGTATGCTACTCAGCCAGCAAAAAGGCTCACAATCGGATCTGTCCTGTGGAGAGGGCGCTGGCAATCCACATTAGGTCCAGGGCCTTGAAGGGGACCAGCACGAAGCTGACATTGGCGGGCAGGTTCTTGGCACTCTCCGGGTACATGAAATGGTGAGTTGTTCGACTGCCAACATCCTTCTCAAAGCCCACAGTCGGTGCCTGATTCATCCTAAAGAAGGTAGAGAGGGGTGGGGGGGGGGAGAGAGGGAGAGAGAGAGAGAGAGAGAGGGAGAGAGAGAGAGAGAGGCATGGGTTTTAGAAGATAATTTGGTACTCATCAAAAATAAAAAAGAAGCTGGACATGATGGCTAATGCCTATAATTCTAGCATTCAAGAAGCTGAGGCAGGCAGGAGGATTGCCACACATTTGAGGCCATCCTGAGTTATAGCGTAACACTTGTATCAAAAAGAAAAAAAATGTATAAAATGATATACACGATGGCTGCTTAAGTAAAGATAAAGACTATTCCATTAATCAAAGAACTGGTGGTACAATCTGTACATTCATCAACTGAATAACACTTAGGTACCAGAATGGAGTACATTTCACATGTTGGTAACAAACCCAGGTCTATTCAGTGAAACATCCTTTTTTTTTTTTTTTGGTTTTTCCTGACAGGGTTTCTCTGTGTAGCCCTGGCTGTCCTGGAACTCACTCTGTAGACCAGGCTGGCCTCGAACTCAGAAATCTGCCTGCCTCTGCCTCCCAAGTGCTGGGATTAAAGGCATGTGACAGCACCACTGGATACCAGAGACAGATAGACCAAGCCCTGAAGATCAAAGAACTTGGATTATCCAATTTTAGGAAAAAAAGGTTTGAAAGAATATTATTTGAGAGGAGGAAACAGACAATTGTGAGGGAAGAAGAAGAAGAGAAGTCAATGGTGGGTGACTATAATCAATATATATATATATATATATGAAAATATTGAAGGGGCTGAAGAGATGGCTCAGTGGTTTAGAGCACTGACTGCACTTCCAGAAGTCCTGAGTTCAAATCCCAGCAACCACAACCATCTGTCATGAGATCTGATGCCCTCTTCTGGTGTGTCTGAAGACAGCTACAGTGTATTCTTATATAATAAATAAATAAATCTTTAAAAAAAAAGAAAATATTGAAATGAAACCCATTGTTTTATGTAATGAGGGAAGGGAAAAAGTATGGTTGCCCCCAGGCTGGCTTCTACAGGCTTACTGCCAGCTTTCTCCACTGATTAGTCAGTCTACTCAGAGTCAAGAAGTGTCCCCATGGACCTGGTGGTAGGACCATTGGCTTCCTTTGATCCTCTTCTACCTGCTTCAGGTCCCAGAGAGCATGGGGATGGGAATGAAGGTTCAAACTAAAGTCCAAGATGTTTCACAGCCTCCACAGGAACAGGGAGGAACGTGACATTCTTTGGGAGACTCTGACTCATTCTAGATAAACCAAGTCCTGGAAAGGGGCCAGAAGATGACATAGAGCTCTGGGACATGGAGCCACACATTGCAGAAACCTATCTGCTCCCAGGTGCCCTTAGCAGCCAAAGAAAGGCTGGGCAGGGTGGCTCACTCTTTACTTGGGGCACAGTGCTAACACCAATACTTCTGTTGCCTGACAATGCCAGGAGCTGGATGGATCTGCTGCCTAGAGGAGGCAAGAAATGCTTGACTCCAGTTGTGTCATAAGCTGAGGGATCAGAGAATTTACAGGGGGAGACAGCTCGAGGTGAGAGGACAGAGCTCTGTTTCACTGCTCTCCCGGATTCTGGGATGAAAGGCTTCCTTTCTGGTTCCCAGTCAAGAGAGGTCTGCAAACAGCCATCAATACTGCCATCTGGACCACAGACAGCCAACTACCATCTGGGTCACCCTTTCTACAAAGCAATTCTAGGGACCACTCCAAACATTGTATTTTGATTCTGCCTCATGTGAAGGAGACTCTGTGGGTGTGTCTACAGCTAGGACACCCACATGTCAGAAGAAATCACAGTTTTGGGGCCGCAGGCTTTGACCCCTGAGGTTTCCCAACCATCACAGAGGAACCAAATGATAGAGTTGGCCAGAGAAGCAGGTATTCGGCTATCTGAGTTTCCTTGGGCTGTCAGAGTGCCCCAGAGCTGAAGGGAAGCAACAGAAGCCGCGACCACTAATCTTGGCCACCTTCTCTTGGTTTTGCGGCAGCTTCCAGCTTCCTTCCCTTTAAAGTGCCAGGAACTGGAAGATGAGGGTAATCCAGGTGGCTCTGGAGCTCTGGGTGGAAGTCAGTATTCTATTTCCACATCCGTCACCGTTTCTCATCTTGAAGAAGATCTTGCAAAAAAAAATATGGAAAGCCTCAAGAGATAAATTGCTATGTTGGTGTTGCTATGGAGACAGCAATGGTTTCTACAACAAAGGCCTTCTGCCTCTCGGGAAATCTGGTCTTTCTGCAATGCCCATCCTAGGCAATGTTTAGTAAAAACCTGGCATTTTCAGTATTTTATTTACTCATTCATTCATTCATTCATTCATTCATGTGTGCATATGTGTTTGTGTGTTCATTTGCATTGACAATGGGAATCTTCTCTTGATTCCTCTTTATTTCTTTGTGTGTCCTTGTTTGAGTGTTGGTGCCCACATACCATGGGACATGTGTAGAGGCCAGAAAACAGAGTCTGGGTGTCAGTCCTCACCTTTCTACCTGAGACAGGGTCTCCTTGCCACTGTGTTGGCTAGGGTAATGGACGCTCAAACTTCTGGAGAATGTCCTGTCTCTGCCTCTCAGCTCCCTAGAGGGGAACACTGGAATCAAAGAAGCCTGTGCTACAGCACCTGGCTTTTATATGGACTCTGAGATTCCAAACTCAGGTTGTCAGGGTTGCTCAACAAGTGCGTTTATCGCTGGGCCACTTCCCCAACCCCCCACCTTAAATAATAAGACAGGTTTTCTCCCTGAACCAAGACTTACAATTTTGGCTAGACTCGCTGACCAGCAAGCCTCCAGGATCTACCAATCTCCATACCACCAGCACTGGGATACAGATGCACACTACAGTGTTACAATGTAACAATACAACGTTACATGGGTGCATTTAAACCTGAACTCTGGTTCTCCTTAACCCTCTTTACTTATTTTTGAGACAAGGAGGGCCTCATGTATCCCAGGTTGGCTTTGAACTTACTAAGAAGCTGAAGATGAACTTGAACTTCTTACCCTCTTACCTCTATACAGATATGTGCTGCTATGCTGGGGATCAAACCCAGAGTCTCGGCATCCTGGGCAAGCACTCTACCAATGCTACAATATCCTCAGCATGAGGTTTTGGGGTTTTTGTTTTTTGTTTGTTTTTTTGAGACAGAGTATCACTATGTAGCCATGGTTGGTTTCAAACTTAGAGAGTCACCGATTTCTGCATTCCAAGTGTTAGGATTTAAGGTGTGGGCTACTGTGCCTAGCTTTGAAATTTTTGTTTTGGTTTTTGTTTTTCAAGACAGAGTTTCTCTGTGTAACAGAGCCCTGGGTGTCTTAGACGGGCTTTGTAGATCAAGCTGGCCTCGAGTTTACAGAGATCCACTTGCCTCTGCCTCCCAAGTGCTGGGATTAAAGGCATGCACCGACATGACTTGCTTTGAGATTCTTTTTTTTGTTGTTGTTGTTTTTATTTTGTTTTTTAAACCAGAAGCTTACTATAGAACCTGTGGCTGGCCTTGGGATATTTCAGCATCAGCTTGCAGGAGCTAAGATTCTTAAATGTGTGCTACCACACCCACCTCACCCTTTTTAAAAAAAAGATAAGTTGATTTAGTGTACCACAAGGGCAGTAGAATGAACAGCAACAAGAACACCTCCTGCCTCCAGGTGGTGGTAGATCTCTTGAGGTCAAGGCCAGACTGGTCTACATATTGAGTTCTAGGACAGCCAGTGCTACACAGAGAAACCCTGCTTTGGGGGTTGGGGAGGGGAACAGGAATACTTTCTGCTAGTAACATTTTTCTATATTTATTATTATTTTAAATTATATATACATATTCATATATTATGTATATATATTGTATATATATGTATATACACAAATACACACACACACATGACTTTCAGCTGCCATGTGGGTGTTGGGAACCAGATTCCAGTCCTCTGCAAGGACAGCATGTGCTCTTAACCACTGAGATAGCTCTCCAGCTCCCAAAATGTGTATTTTGAACACTTACTCCACACCTAACCTTGAAAACCTGGGAAGAGAGACCAAGACTATTAACTGAAACCTCTGGGTGCTAGTGGCCCTTAGCCCACTGGGCAACTGGTACTTGTACCCTAGCAGAAAAGATCAAAGAAGACTAGCAAGATGGTTCAGTGGATAAAAGAGCTTGCCACCAAACCTGAAAATCTGAGTTTAGTTCATAGGACCCATGTGGTGGAAGGACTCCTACAAGCAGTCCTCTGATATCCTGAAAACTAAATAATGTGAAAAACAAACCAAACCAAGCAAACAAACAAAAACTGAAGAGACAAGGATGCTTTATGGATTGTCTTCCCTGTCCCTCTGCCTGTTCCATGAGAGCTCACCTCATGATAAAGTTGTGGCTGTCCACTTCTTGCCCATAGCCAGAGCCCCGAAGGTTGCCTGAGTTCCCGACCACAGCACAGCGCCGGCACTGTTGGGGGTCCCGGAAGCGGTAGGGGTTCTCACCAGGCACAATCTGGAACAGCTTCTCCAGCACTTCGTTGGTGTTGTGTGATTTGAATTGGGGTTGCAGCATCTGGGCAGGGGATATGGCTGTGAGGGTGGAGAAACTCTCACCCCTTCAAATTTCCCCTCCAGTCAGAGCAGTACAGACCTCCTCGGACAGGGCTGTCTGAGAATCCCTTCCCCGAGCCCTGAGGAACTTCTCTTCATGGTAGCAAAGTCTTGACTCTCAGTCAGCCTCACTATTGAGAGAAGAGTACCTAGTACCCTGCCAGTCATGAGCCGCCCCTCCAATGCTTTAGAGAGGCTTGGAGTGGGGGTGGGGTGTCCAAGTGGTATTTGAGGCATTTTGGAGGGACTTATGGTTCTAGGCCATAAAGCAGAGTAATGCACTTCAGGAAGGTTTCCAAAACTGGTTCCCTCTGCCCCTCATCAAGAGCTGGAATCCAAGCCGGGCAGTGGTGGCGCACCCCTTTAATCCCAGTACTTGGAAGGCAGAGGCAGGTGGATTTCTGAGTTAGAGGCCAGCCTGGTTTTCAGCGTGAGTTCCAGGATAGCCAGAGATACACAGAGAAACTCTGTCTTGAAAAACCAAAAAAAAAAAAAGAAAAAAAAAAACCCCAAAAAACCAAAAACCAAAAACAAACTGCTAATGATCAACAAAGGCTCAAGTCAATGAGGTTAGCCTTGAACTCCTGTTTCTGCCTTCTAAGTATTGTGTTTTGTTAGAGACAGGGTTTCAGCATGTAGCCCAGGCTGGTTTTGAGACTGCTATGTAACACTGGCTGGCCCTGTACACAATGTTCCTCTCACCTCAACTTCCTGAGTGCTGGGATTACAGCATACCACCATACCCTTCCACAGCGCAAATGTTCAATGGGGTTAGGCCAGTGACACACAGGAATAAAGGAAGTGGGGTGCACAGCAAACAAAAGATCACATGCTTACCAGAACAAAACAAAAAAAAAGAAAATCCATGGGCCACTGAAATGTCTCAGGTGAAGGCACCTGCTGCCATGCCCGATGACCAACACCCAAGTCGTAGGACCCATAAAACTGAAGGAAAGAATTGACTTTGACCTCCACACATGTGACATGACATGCACATGCTACAGAGAGAGAGAGAGAGACAGAGAGACAGAGAGACAGAGACAGACAGAGAAAGAGAGAGAGAAACAGAGACAGACAGACAGACAGAGACAGAGAGAGAAAGAGAGAGAGACAGAGAGAGAGAGACAGAGAGAGAGAGAGAATACGTTTTTAAAATACTTAAAAACCAGCCTGTTGCCACATAGGAAAATTTCCAGGAGAAACTAAAAATAAAGATTTCACATGAAATCCTCTGAATGTTAAATATTGGTAATATAAATATTTCTAAAAACAGTGGACTAGACTTGTTCCATGACATGGGGCCATCAATTAATACTTTGAAATATTTTGAAACTAACACTTTAAAATGCCACAGACAAAATGAAGCAGGCCTGCCTGCTCTACAGAGCAAGGACAGGCAAGACAACACAGAAAAACAAAACAGAATAAAATTTAAAAATGTCGTGAGCTCTCAGGAGGCTGAGGCCAGAGGATCCTAAGTTTGAGGCTGCTGGGAATACATAATGAAACCTGTCTCGAAGAAACAGAGCAATGTCAGGTATGGCGGCACATTGCCCCCGCACCCAGGAGACACAGACAGGCAGATCTCTGTGAGTTCAAAGCTAGTCTGGTTTACATAGTGAGTTCCAGGCCAGTCAGGGTTATATAAGACCCTGTCTCAAAGCAAAAACAAAAACAAGCCCAATGTAACGATATATACCTACAATCCCAACACTCAAGATTCTAAGGAGAGTCAGGTAAAAAAAAAAAAAAAAAAAAAGCTGGGCAGTGATCCCTGTGCTTGGGAGACAGAGGCAGGCAATCTCTGAGTTCAAGGCCAGCATGGTCTAGAGTGAGTACCAAGACAGCTAGGGCTACACAGAGAAATCTTGTCTCAAAAACAAGCAAGCAAATAAACAAACAAAAACAAGAAAAGAAAAGCTGTGGACCAAGAGCTGAGAGAAGATGCTCTGGGATGGAGCACTTGCCTAGTACATCCCAAGCCCTGGCCTTGACACTCAGCAATAACAACATTGCTGTAGAATGAGACACTGGGTTTGTGGGCAAGCGGGAGCTGCTCAGGGAACCGGAGATCTTTCTGGAGCAGAAGTCTACCTCTGAGATAAGAATTCTCAATTTTGTGGCAAAAGGGGTATGGCTGTGGGGAACAGGAAGATGTGTGGGTTGAGGAACACAGTTCCTAAGCAGAGTTGCATTCCTGCGACCAGAGGCCTGTTCCTCGTTCCCGGGGAATAAGGCCACTGCTGAGACTATAACACCAGGCAGACACTGAGCACGTTCTGAACCTTGATTTTTCTCCATAAAACAAAGTTGTAGCTGAAAGGGACAGGCAGGACTCTGCTAGAAGGTCCTGTGCGGCTCCTCTGAACCTGTGCTCTACAGACACTGGTCTTGGAAGAATCTAAACAGTCTGGGCCTAGCTGTCTTGATAAATGTGTACATTCTCACATCCGTGAAGAATGAGAGGAGAGGCATCTTGCTCCTATACTGGGGGGAGGAACAGGGACCAGGAACTGCCTCTCCATGCCAGGGAGAGCAGGCAGCCTACAGGTTCCACTCTTGGCCCAGGAGGCAACCAGATGGCCCTGCAGAACCTTGGAAGTGATGCTCCAGGGATGATGGGGGCAGTGTGGAGGACATGAAAAGCAAAAAGGTCTTGGGACCTAGGAACCCAGGGATGGACCTGTTATAGGCTCCTCTGAGGCTCTGGTGCTCCGCCACCCTTAGTGGCTGAGGCTTAAAATGCTCCCTCTCAAGCCAGAGCAATCTTTTCCAGCATCTGTAAAGAACCAAGAAGGCCTCCTAAAGTGTTTATAATTACTCTGAGCCAACATTTACCAATTAGGATATTCAGTCTTAAAATCTCTTATTTCTGGGATAGTTCAGCAATAAGTAGCTATCATACAAACAGTGAGGACCTGAGTTCAGATTCCCAGCACCTATGTAAAAGCCAGATGGGGGAGTACATTTCTGTAATATGGTGCCAGAGATATGCAGACAGATGTCTAGAATCTCACAGGCCAGCTAGCTTAGCCAAATCGTCAAACCACCAAACTCCAGATTCTTGAGACCCTGTCTTAAAAATTAAGGTGGAATGGCCAGTGTGGTGGCACACGTCTTTAATCCTAGCACTCAGAAGGCAGAGGCATGTGGATCTCAGTGAGTTCAAGACTAGCCTGGTCTACAGAGTGAATTCCAAGACAGTCAGAACTACACAGTAAGACTCTGTCTCCTAAAAACAAAACAAAGCAAACAAAAAGACCCACAACAACAACAAAAATAAGGTGGACAGTGATTAAGTCAATATTTTACAACATTTCACTTCCAAAAGCATAATTCTGTATGTATGCACACACATAAAACTTGCACAGCACATACAGGGGCTGGAGAGATGGTTCAGTCGGTAAGAGCACTGGCTGCTCTCCAGAGGCCCCGGGGTTCAATTCCCAACACCCATAAGGTGGCTCACAATTGTCTGTAACTCCAGTTCCAGGGGATCCAAAGCTCTCTTCTATCCTCTGAGGGCACAGAAATATATGGACAAAGAACATCCATTCACATACTAAAATAAAAATGTATATACACTGTACACACAGATTCAGGCTCCTGGAGTCTGGTAAGAGAGGCTGGAGGATAGCAGGCAAGAAGATTGGGGAGAAATGGTGCTCGCTGCACAAGCCTGGAGACCTAAGTTCAATCCCTGGATCCCATGTAAAGGAAGAAAGTACCAACTCCACAAAGTTGTCTTATAATCATTACATGTGCACTGTGGTACCCGCACAGCCCCCAACACATCATACATGTATATACACACACACCAAATAATAATAAGAAGTTTGGAAATATATGATCCTGGAGGGAGAAGCATGAGGCACTTGCTGACAGGGCAGCACTTGCTGCAGCTGGGGGGTAGTTTCTTGCCACCTAACAGGCAGGCCTCTATCTATCTATGGCATGGCCTCCAAGTCACCACTTAGACTGCTCTGGCCATGTGTGCTGCCTATCTGAGCCCAGAGCATTTTGGGGGCAGGGTGTCTACAATGGACTCTTAGAAGCAACACAAATAGTAGTTCTCTCTCCTTCCAGGTCAGAGCTCATCCTGCCTGTCAGCAACCTGTGATCCAGGGATAGGGCTCAGATCAGATGGACTTCCTGCTTTGTCAGGGTGCTGGGAGAGTCATAGGATGGACACCCTAAGTCTAAAAGGGGGCTCTGGTCACAGCGGCTCCAAAATAAAGAGGACTAATTCTGGAAACCAGACAACTAAAGGAAATCAGAAGGGGGCCGCAGTTCTTACCATCCACCACCGCTGGACATCCGGGGGGAGGTTCATGTTATCTCTGGTCCAGACCGGTGAGATGTTACTGTCAAAGTGGCTGTCAAACCATTCAGAGGTGCCAGCATCACCCATGCAGCGACTGCAGGCACAACTTTTCCCCGAAAGACCCTCCTTGCCGAGGTGCTGTAGTCCAGTATAGCCTGGTACCAGCTTCACCCGGTGTGTGCCGCCCAGAGTCCCCGAGTCCAGGTAGGGCAGGGTGGCCATACTGTGGTGTGAGTAGGTGAAGAGCAGAGACATAATGAACACCAGCAGGAAGGCCATAGAGAGGAACCACACCCGAAGGGAGCACTTCATTGTGCTGGCCACGGAGCAGCTGGTCACCGTGGCCAATCCTTTCCCAGCCCACTGTGGGGCCAGCCACGGTGCAGCCTGCTTGTTTTGGCAGCACGTAGAAAGGGCATAGGGGCACGAGGTGTGGCAGGGGACACTTGCCACACCTTCCCTCAACAAAAGGAGAAAGCAGGAATAGCCTCCCTCCCTCCCCCCCGTCCCTGAGCCACTGGAGCCTCTGCTCAGAACTTCATCAGGTCTCTCAGTCACTAGCTGGGCCACAAAGGCTCTGCGTCTTCTGCCACCCCGTCAAGGCAGAGGTCAGTCCATCCCAGCTCTCTAGTCCCTTGTGAGTGCTGGCAGCCAATTCCAGGGACCCCCCTCTTTGGTGGCTTGAAAAGGTCCAGTCTGGAGCAGTCTGGGTCCTTGTGGTTCATGAGCAGACGCTAAAGCAGCCCCTCCTCCCCTGCAGTGGGGAATCCCTGGAACCCTGATTACAACAGAGAGCACACAGGCTTCAGGGGGCCAGCATTCCACGCACGAGTCCTCTATACACTTGCAGGCCGTCCTGGTCCAACTCCTTGACCAAGGGAAAAGAGCCCGACTCAAGGCCAGAGGGAAAACCAGTAGTCTTCATGGGTGTCAGGGCTGCAAAAACCAAGACGTTCTCCGTAGCGTCTAGCCTGCTGCTTCCCACCAGAGGTGCTGCTGGTCTTTGTTCTGGAGATGGCAGCCCCAGCTGCAGTGGCACAGAAGACCACAATCACCTACTCATCCTGTGGGGTCCTCTGGAGCTGGGAACAGCTGCTGCTCAGCAAGGTGCCGGGTTCTAAGCCATGTGGGTCGGCAGAGCTTGTGTGAAGCTCCTCTTTAGGACTCCAGACTCCTTCCTGGGACTGTTGGCCTAGGCAGGGCAGCTGTCCTGCCCACCCTTGCTTCTGAGGTGAGGCCGTCCTGTCCTTGGCTCCTGCCAGCCAGTGATCCCCTGGCAGGCTCTTCTTCACCTGTCAGGCGCCAGGCTGCCACAGCATGACCCTGAAATTCAGAGAGGAAAAAGAATATGCAGCTAGACAGTAGAACCTGAACATACATACACATGCTCTCTCTCTCTCTCTCTCTCTCTCTCTCTCTCTCTCTCTCTCTCACACACACACACACACACACACACACGCCCCGCCCATGGTCTCAGAGGAGACAGCGCCAGCAATAAAAGAGATGCCCGTCAACAAAAGGGTAGACAAAAGAAAAGGCTCTTCCCTCAAACCGCCCACAGATAGCATCACTTTGCCTAATTCCCAGCCTGAGAGGACTGCACCTTCATTAATTAGCCCGAAAATAAACAAGGAATAAGTTAATTTCCCCTGGGTCTGATGGCAAGGGCTAACACACTCCATTTAGAAAGCCTTGTCCAGCTATGTGTAGTTAGTTACTTTTGGACAAAACTGAGGGGAAATTGGCCTAGGGAGGACCCCACGGTCTGAGAATAATGGCTTCCCCCACATAATGCTCTCAAGGAACTTGTAGTGCCCATAGGAAGCTGGCAGAAACTAGTCCCTGATCTCTCAGGTGTGGACTGTCCAGGCAACATTTCTGATTAGTTCAGTGAGCCATGAACAATCTTTTCTGCTCTGATATACAGGGAAAACATGTCAGGAGAAGAGGTTTCTGGTCTCGGAACAACCACCAACCAGCCCCCCTGAGCAGTTGCCTTCATCTGTGTATTAAGGACAGAATGAACTTCTAGAGTCCCATCCTGATAGTGCCAGCAGCCTGAAGCTCCATGCTGTCCCCAGCACACAGCAGGGAGAAGAGGCTACAGGGAAAGGAGTTTGAATCCATGCTCAGGGCATCTTTTAAACCATCTTTCTAAATCCAGCCAGCCAGAGTAAGCTCTGACATGACCCACGGGTCTTGCAGCCCTACCCCTCCCTTGTTGAAGGTTCCAGCCAGACATTCTAGGGTTCTCTGGCTGCTGTGGCAGCTGCAGGCAAAGTCTTAGGATCTGTGTTAAAAAGACAGCAGTCAGGACAGAAGCCTGTAACCCCAGGAAGAAGCAGGAGGAAGATGAGGAGCTGGGGGCTGTTCAATAGTGAATCTGAGGCCAGTTAAGGGGCCACAAGAGACCCAAGACTCCGACTCAAAGTAGTAACAAAAACAACAACAATAATAACCCAGCAAAGTGGTTCAGTGTACAAGTTTAACAGCCTTTGTTTAATCCCTGGAGCACACTTAAAAAAGAGAAACATTCTCTACAAAGTTGTATGCTTCCGATCTCATGTGAGTCCACCTGGGACCCCAACCCATCACACAGACACAAACAACAATTAAAAAGGGGGCAACCAGAGAGATGGTGAATAGTACTGGTTGCTTTTCTAGAAAACCCGATCCGGTTCCCACCAGCCACAGGGCAGCTCACGATCACCTCTAACTCCATTTTTAGAAGATTTGTTACCCACTTCTGGCCTCCTGGGGTACCCACCTGGCATCCACATGATATACAGATATACATGGAGAGAAAACATCCATACACATAAAATAAAAATTAAATACGTCTTTTGAAAGAGAAAAGGAAAGAAACAAAACCCCTGCCCCCTCGGTTTGTGATGGCTCAAATTTCTTCAGTTACACTAAACCCTAGAGCCATCAAGGACCGGTATTAGCACGATATAATAGGAAAGACATAATTCTAGATCAGGAAAATGATGTTTATAGATGTGAAAGTACTTGCTGAAGGCCACGACCTTATGAGTGGCAGTGAGCTCTGAGACCTGGCCTGATTCAAAGTCTGAGACAAGACGGCGTGCTAGAAGCTCGTGAGCCATTGCAGATGCACAAGGCTCAGGGGAGGAAGTGAAAGGTTCTGAGATAGCTCAGAAGGAAAAGGTTCTTTCTGCCTTCTGCCACACCTACTCACCCAAATCCAATCCCTGGGACCCACATAGGAGAAGAAAAGAACTGATTTCCTAGCTCAGTGTAGTGGCTTAGGCCTTTAATCCCAGCACTCAGGAGGCAGAAGGCAGATCTTTTTGAGTTGGAGGTCAATGTGGTCTACAAACAAGTTCCAAGACAGCCAGGACTCTGTTACACAGAGAAACCCTGCCTCACAAAACAAAACAAAACAAAACAAAACAAAATGAACTGACTCCCTTAAGTTTTCTTCTGATGTCCAAATATACATACACAAATAATTAAATAAATACTGTTTTTCTTGTTTTTGTTTTTTGAAGCTTCAAGCCAGGCATGCCTATGAGCCTAGCACTCGGAACATAAAGACAAGAGAATCATCTGGGTTTAAAGACATTGTGAGTTCCAGGACAGACAAAGCTACACAGAGAAACCTTGTCTCAACAAATTGAGAGGAAGGGAGGGAGAGAGGGAAAGAAGAAGGGAGGGAGGGGGAGAGAGAGAGAGGAGAAAAAGGAGAGAGAGAGGAGAGAGAGAAGAGAGGAGAGAGAGAGGAGAAAGAAGAGAGGAGAGAGAGAGGAGAGAGAGGGAGGGAGGGAGGGAGGGAGAGAGGGAGAGAGGGAGAGGGAGAGAGAGAGAGAGAGAGAGAGAGAGAGAGAGAGAGAGAGAGAGAGAGAGAGAGAGAGAGAAACAAAGCCAGGTGTAATGGCACACATTTTTTATCCCAGAACATAGGTGGCAGGGTCTCTCTGAGTTTGAAGCCACTGTGGACTACAATCATTAAATCCAGGTCAGCTTGGGCTACATATTGAGATCCTGTCTAAAAAAATAATTTCTAGAAACCCAGTCTGTTTCTACCCTTCCTCCTAGGAAACCACAGTTTCTCCAAGGAGTCTATGCCATGGGCTTCAATCGGCCATCCAAGATCCAGGAGAATGCTTTGCCCATGATGCTTGCTGAACCGTGAGTACAGACCCAGCTGTACCTTTTCATAGCTGGGTTAACTAAGTGTTTTACGAATGACTTTCATTGTTTCTGGGCACAAAATGGGCTGTCTGGGACATCCTGCTTTCTCAGGAAAAGAGGTCCGGAAGTGCAGGGAGAGTCAAGGGGATTTGGATGCAATTTTCTTCTTTCCTGCTTAACAGTAAAAACTGATACGGTTAGTGTTTTATTTTAGACAGTTTTCTGGGTTTTAGAAATTACTTTGGAGCTAGGGTGGTGGTTCATACCTGTGACCCCAACAATGAAAGAGTTCAAGGCCAGACAGTGGTACAAGACATTAGTACACCAGGCCAGAAAATGGCTGAACAGGTAAGGGTGCTCATACCAAGCCTGGCCATTGGAGTTGAGGGACCAGACCACAAGGTAGACCTTGAGAACCAACTTCCCACAAGTTGTTCTCTGACCTCCACCAGTGTGTGCGCACACCATCCCACATACAGACAAACAAGTGGAGGGAAGTTTTAACTGTATACTTCAAATGGGTAAATTGCATACGGGGGTGGGGAAGGGTGGATACCCACCCTCCCAACCAAAGACAGTGTCTCACTGCAGCTCTGGCTAGCCTGAAACTTGTAGCAATCCTCTTGCCTCAGTGCCTCAAGCGCTGAGATTATACACACGCACCTCCGTGCCAAACTGTTTCATTGCTATGGCTTTATAAAAAGGTTTAAGATCACAAATTTTGTAAATTGGTGTGGGGGGGCACCATGTATAATCATCATTTCCATGAGACCTAACCAATCTCACAGAAAGTAGCACCCAGGAGGCTGAGGCAGGAGGTCAGACCTTGAAGAATTGGATGGACCTGCTTCCTCTCTTCCCCCAGCTTTTTATAGCCAGGAAATCCATGGCCAGAAGAGGCTCCCACAGAACAAATTAAAAATGAAAGCCCAAGGGAGGCTCTCAGCAGCACAGTGGTAAATGAAGCAGAGGGTGCTGGGAAGGGGAATATACCGTAGGCTACAGTGTCTTCAGAGCCCATCTCGGTCAGATCCCAGGAGACCAGGCACGGAAATAACCTAATAAAACGCCGGCTAGTAAAGCCTCAGATCAGCACAGCTGAACACAACCTGCAACCTTCTTGGCAGGCACAGACAAGGAAAGTCAAAGTAAGGCGTGAAGATGGGGATCGTGGAGCAGAACTCGCTCCATCCATTCCCATACTGCCTGTGCGTCTTGAAGCTTCCTCCTGAAGACAGCAAATCACAGTCTACTACTGAAACGTTAGGATGCCTTCTGAACCCCAGGCACAT